CTTCCCCATTTCTGAAGAAGGGTCTCGGCCCGAAACGTCAGCTTTCCCGCTCCTCTGATGCTGCTTGGCCTGCTGTGTTCATCCAGCTCTACACCTTGTTATCTCTGTATCCCTTCTTTACCATCTTATCATTTGCGTTGTCACTTCTAGGGAGCTATGAACTTGAAACTCAAGATCTCTTTGTACGTCAATACTCCGAAGGGTCTGGCCATTTACAATATACTTTCCTCTTGTATTTGACCTGCCAAAATGAATAACCTCACGTTTGTCTGGATTAATGTCCATTTGCCCTTTCTACGTCCAACTGATGAATATCCTGCTGCATCCTTTCATATCCTCCTTCACTATCCACAACTCCGACCAATTCTCATGTCATCTGCAAAGTTAGAATCAGACCACTGCCACTTTCATTCAAACCCATTATAAACAACAGAGGTGCCAGTGATGACCCTATTGGCCGCAGACTTCCAGTCAGAGAAACACTCTCTTGCACAGCTACCTTCTGTCTTCTCTGGCCAAGCCAATTTTGTATCCAACTTGCTGGCTTACCATGGATTCCACGTGATTTGATCTTCTAGATCAATGTACCATGATGAACCTTGCCAAATGTTTTGGTAAAGTCCATGGAGACAACATCCACTGCCTTTCCCTCATCAGTCATCTTCGTTACTTCCTCAAAAAACTCAATCAAGTTTTATTCACTCATTTAGTACCCAGATATTATTTAGATTTTTGTTTGTCAAGCAATAAATTATTGATAGCATTGTCAATTTATTTGTACTTTTTTCAAAAGAAGAGGGAAAAGACTGATTTTAAAATCCGAAAATTTAGCTTTAATTAATATCCGCTTATGCACAGTGCAGATGGAATGGTGATATTTTAACTTCTGATTGTGTAAACTCTGTTAACCCATGATGCCAATCATCCAGGCAAATGGAGCACATTCTATTACACTCCTGACTTTTGCCTTTCGATAGTGGAACTGCTTTGGGAAGTCAGGAGATACATTGCTCAACACAGAATTCTCAGCCTCTGATCTGCTGTTCCAGGCACAATAATAATATGGCTGGTCCAGTTCAGTTTCTGGTCTGTGGTAACCTTCATATTGCAGTCAGGAACAGCTGCATAGTGTTACACAATTATTACTTTTACAGCAAAGTGGAGCAGGTGATCTCAGATTGGCCACTTTGTTAAAAAGAAATTCGGTTAGGTATCTTGCAAGGCAGCTGATCTGATATCAACAGTTTGCTTTCATCAGCAGAATTTAAACCTTCCCCTTGGGAATATACGGTTGTGAAACTTTATAATTCTGTTGCACCCATTTAATGTGAATTTGTTGAATGTGCTCTAGTTCAGAGGGTTACAAAGTACCTAATTGAAAGAAGGGCTTCTATTCTTTGAACTGATATTGAGCATAGAGTCATAGTCATACAGTAGAGAATCAAATCCTTCAGCCCAACTCGTCCATGCTGACAAGGTTTCCTAAACTGAACTAGTCCCATTTGCCTGCTCTTGGCCCATATGCCTCTAAACCTTTTCTATCCATGTACCTGTCCAGATGTCTTTTGAAATGTTGTAATTGTACTGGCCTTGACCACTTGCTCTGGCAGCTCATTCCATATATGTGCCATCCTCTGTAAGAAAGTTGCCCATCAGGTCCCTTTTTAAATCTTTCTCCTCTCACCTTAAACCTGTGCCCTGTAGTTTTTACACTTGCCTACCATGAGGAATAGACCTTGGCTATTCACCTTTATGCTGTGTCCCTCATGATTTTCTAAACATTTCAAAGTGTGGGAGGCCAAAGACAAAGGCCATAATAAGTGTAGGTGAGAATTAAAATGACAGGAGACCAGAAACTCATACTCATGCCTACAGGCAGAGCTGAAGCTAATTCACAAAGTAGTCAGTCAACCAGTATTTATCATAGAATCATAGAATCCCTACAGCGGGGAAACAGGCCATTTAGCCGATCAAGTCCACACTGACCCTGTGAAGAGCATCCCAGCCAGACACCACCCCCTACCCTATGTCTGCATTTTCCATGGCTAATCTACCTAGCTTGCACATCCTTGAACACTATGGGGCAATTTAGTATGGCCAGTGCACTTAACCTGCACATCTTTGGACTGAGAGGAAACTGGAATGCCTGGCAGAAACCCACGCAGACATGGTGAGAATGTGCAAACTCCACACACAGTTGCCTAAGGGTGGAGTTGAACCTGGGCCCCTGATGCTCTGAGGCAGCAGTACTAACCACCAAGCCACCGTGTTGTCCCAAATTTAGTCTGTCTGTAGAGAAGGCTGCATCATGGGTTGTAAATATGGTGAACACAATTGGAAGAAGAGCATGTAAATTGCTGTGGTACTTGGAAGGAACCTTTGGACCCTGGATAATGGGCAAGGGGATGTAAAAGGGCAAGTTTTGCATTTCTTTTGCTTGTATGAGAAGGGGTGACTGAAGGGAAGGAGTATCCATTTACTTAATGTCTTTCATTCAGTAACCAAATAAAAAGGCACCTATAGCAATCAAAAAACACTCCCTCTGCTTTTCCTGTTACCACTTAATCAAAAACAGACGAAAGGGTATACATGGATATTACGTGCAATTGTGGCTATTGCATGACCATGTTAGAGGCCTTTTACTCATTTCTAACTTTAATCAGAAATGTCATGAACTACATGTGGCTTGTGGATGAAATATCGGCAAACTCTGTGCTGGGCTGCATTGTGAATGTGTGTGTAAGCCTTTGATCTTTATTTCATAGGGTGTTGCCGCAGATTTATGTTGCTGTAGTAGAAGCCGTGCTGGCTAGCATCCGATGCTACGTGGAAACATCCAGCTTAAAAAGTGTAAGTGTCATTCATAAGATTGAATATAAACTGTTAAATAAGGTTGACTTTTATTTTGGGGATACAGTCTGTAGCAAACATGATGAGGCAAGTGAGAGGTGATGTCATAATTCCCTGGCAAAACAGCTGAATCTTTGCAGCATCCACCAAGTGGGTGAAGGAGAAATAATATGGTAGTTGAGTTTTTGACAGCTTGGAGTGCATGAGGGATATTCTTGTTCCATTTGTATTTTGGAAGCTTTCAGCACACTGCTGTGAAAAACATGAAAATATTGGCTAAATCAGTCTCTGGTAATACCAGAAGATCCTAAGAAATAATAACAGGAGTAGGTCATTCTGCCACCACGAGCCTGCTCCATCATTCGAAAGAATCATGGCTGATCTGACATTACTCATGTCCACCTCTTGCCCTTTTCCCATAATCATTGATTCGCCCACTGATCAAGAATCTATTTCAACCTTAAATATACACAAGGACTCTGCCCCCACAGCTCTCTGTGGCAAGGAGTTCCAAAGACACTCAACCATCAGAACAAATTTGTCTTCATCTCGGTCTTAAATTGGCACCCCTTAATTCTGAGACAATGCTGTCTGGTCTGAGTCTCTCCCATAATGAGGGGAACCATCTTCTCAGCACTTACCCTGTCAAACCTTTTAAGAATCCTGTATATTTGCATGTGATCACCTTTCTCTCATTTTTCTAAACTCCAATGAACAAAGTCATACAATCATAGAATTCCTACAGTGTGAAAGTAGGCCATTCAATCCATCAAGACCACACCAACCCCTCAAGAGCATTCCACTCAGACTCACTGCCCTACTCTATCCCTGTAAATCTGCACTTCCCATGGCTAATCCACCTAACTTGCACATCGCTAGACAGTACAGAACAATTTAGCATAGCCAATCCACCTAACCTGCACATCTTTGGACTGTGGGAGGAAACCGGAGTATTCTGAGGAAACCCATGCAGACACAGGGAGAATGTGCACACTCCACACAGGCAGTCACCCATGGGTGGAATTGAACCCGGATCCCTGGTGCTGTGAGGCAGCAATGCCAACTGTTGAGCCATCATGCCACCCAGATGAGTCCCGACCTGTTTAGCCTTTGCTCATAAAATAATCCCTCCATACCAGGGATCATGCTAGTTAACCTTTTCTGAGCTGCTTTCAATAAAATAATACCTTGCCTTAAATAAGCGGACCAAAACTGCCCACAGTACTTCACAGTAGTCTCCTGATGACATGCACCCTCATGCACCTTGGTTATTAATACTTTCTATTTCAACTTTTAATCTTGGGAGTGACTTAGATAATGTCATAATATAAAGAAGCCTTATCTATGTCCTGCTTTAAGACATTTATATTCAATCTTGTAACTATAGCCCCTCATTCTTAACTCCCAAAATAGTGGGAACCCCTAATTCCATCCATTTAGAAATAATTCAGGAAATGGTTGTATTGAAGAAAGAACTTTGATTTAATAGGGCTTTTCTTTACCTTATGGATGTCCCAAAATGCATTGCAGCCAATCAAGTACTTCTCAAATATTTTATTGTGATAGGGGACGTTGTGCACACAAAGTTTTGCATACAGGAATAAGAATCATGACCATATAATCTGCTTTATGATGTTGACTGACACACATTGATCAGAGACAAGACCTTGAATTTATATTGTACCTTTTTAAGATAGCAAAATGTCAGAGCGCTTATGAGTGTGTTCTTAAACAAAATCTGGCTCGAGATCTCTCGAGGAGATATATGGACAGGACAAGGTCAGTTGTAAACAAAAGTAGCTTGCGAGGGAATTTCAGAATTTATGGCCAAGACATCTGAAAAAATTGTCATTTTGGAGGGAGTTAGAGAGGGGGATGGATAAGTCGATGAAGAGATTTGAAAATGTGGATGAGAATATTGGCTGGACCTAAGCCAATACAGCTTAGAAAGCTCAGGATTGCTGATTAAAGGGACTGTTAAAAGAATATTGGGATAATGCAACAATGTTTTAGCTGAAGTCCAATTTCACAACTGGAAGTGGAGGTGAGAGTAACAGAAGGAAAAAACATTGGATACAATGTTGCAAGAGTCTGGAGATGACAAAAGCCACAAATGAGCGAGGAATGCAGAGTGCTTTTGGTTTTGAAGATGTCAGTAAGTGATCTTGGTCATGAGAAAGCTAAATGGAATTAGTAGCTGGGGAACTGAGTTTGTGGCATCAGTGTCTGTTGCTCCTTATGTAACTGATAGATAAAGTTGATGCCTCAGTTTAAAACTTTCTAAGAAAAGAAGTCTGACAATGTTTCACACAGTATTGCTGTCATCTCGTGCAGCAAATGGGCCAGGCCGCCATCCTCGATTGATGTTCCTGAGCCATATCAAATATTGCTATATTTGATGGCGTTTGGAGGGATGAGGGGGGGATATTTTTGAAACTTGGGAATGCTGTCCAGGCCTCTTCAGAATGAACTGGAGAAGATGTTGCTCCTAGTAGGATAGACTAGGACTCTGGCACAGCCCTAGAGTGAAGGGATGGCCCTTAAGAATGAGGTGAGGAAGAATTTCATGAGCCAGCAGGTGATGAATCTGTGGAACTCCTTGCTGCAGAAGGCCATGGAGGCCAAGTCATTGAGTCTTTTTAAAACAGAAATAGGTTCATATTTCATTTGAAAATTATGGAAAAGTTGAAGTGGGGAAGGCTCAGCAGAGGTTATTAAACTTTGCAGAACAAGTAATATGATAGAGATTATGGAAAGGGATAGGAATTTAACTTCAGGCACAACAGTTAACAACAGGACGGTGATGAGAAGTGGGAGCAGACAATGCGGGACGGAGGGTGTTATACTTAAATGCACACAGTATACGAAACAAGGTAAGTGAGCTTGAAGCGCAGATTGAAATTGGCAGGTACAGCACAATGGGCATCACAGAAGTGATAGCAACATGATCAGGCCAGCGAACTAAATATCTAAGGAGACATATCCTGTCAAAAGGATAGGCAGATGGACCGAGGGGAAGGGGTTACCTTCTTAGTAAGAAAAGAAATCAAATCAATAGCAAGAAGTCGTATGGAATTGGAATGGGTAGATTCATGGGTGGAGTTGAGGAACCTCGAAGGAAAACAAGGAGTTGTGTACAGGCCTCCTAACACTAGTTAGGATGTGGGGAAGGAAATACATTAGGAGAGAAAGGGTATGAAAGGCACTATTACAGTAATCTTGTGGGACATCAATATGCAGATGGACTGGAAAAATCAAGTTGGTAATGGATCTCAAGGAAAGGAATTTATGGAGTGTCTGAGATGGGTTTTTAGAGCAGTTTGTGGTAGAGCCCATTAGGGAACAGACAATTCTGGATTTGGTGATGTGTAACGAAGCAGACTTGATTAGGGAGCTGAAGGTGAAGGGGCAGTGGCCATAATATGATTGATTTCATGCTATAGTTGGAGAGCGAGAAGCTCAAGTCAGATGTCACAGTATTATAATGGAATAAAGGTAACTACCAAGACACAAGCAGCTAGAACTGATTGGAAGGGAGCCTAGGCGGAAAGATGGTGGAGCAGCATGGTAGGAGTTTCTGGGAGTAATTCGGGAGGCACAATAGAAATTCATCCCAAGGAAGATGAAACACACTGAAGGGAGGGTGAGGCAACCATGGCTGACAGGGGAAGTCAGGAACAGCATAAAAGGAAAAGCATATAATGTGGTGAAGATTGGTGGGCAGACAGAGGATTGGGCACCCTTGAAAAATCAGCAGAGGATAACTTAAAGCAATGGGTGGGTCCGAGGGTGGAGAAGATGTAATATGAGAGTAAACTAGCTACTAATATAAAAGAGGATTACGAGAGGTTTTTTGTTAAGATATCTAAAAGGTAAGAGAGAGATGAGTGGACTTTGGACCACTGAAAAATGAGGCTGGAGAAGTGGCAATGGGGAACAAAGAAATCATGGAGGAACTGGATAGGTACTTTGCATCAGTTTACGCAGTGGAAGATGCCAGCAGCATACCAGAATTTCAAGAGAGTCGGGGGAACAGCTGAGTATAGTGGCCATCGCTAAGGAGAAGGCACTGGGCAAGGTGAAAGGCCTGAAGCTTGAAAAATTAGTCGGACCAGATGGACTACACCCAGAGTGCTGACAATAACTGAGGAGATTGTAGAAGCATTGGTGGTCATCCTTTAGCAATCACCTGGAGTCAGGGAGACTCCCAGAGGAATGAAAAATGGCTATTGTAGTACCTGTTTAAGATGGGAGGGAGGCAGAAGATGAGCCGTTTATAGGTCAGTTTGCCTGACCTCTTGTCATTAGTAAGATTTTAGAGTCCCTTATTAAGAATGAGATTGCAGAGTACTTGGAAGTGCATTGTAAAATAGGGCTGATTCAGCATGGCATTGTCGAGGAAAGGTCATGCCTGACCAATCTGTTAGAATTCTTTGAGGAGGCAATGAGCAAGTTAGACAAAAGGAGATCCAGTGGACCTGATCTGTTTGGATTTCCAGAAGGCCTTTGGAAAGGGGCTACACAAGAGGCTGCCAAGTAAGATAAGAACCCATGGTATTTAGGGTACATTACTGGCACGGATAGAGGATTGGCTGACTGGCAGAAGGCAGAGAGTAGGGATCATGGTAGATCTTTGTTTGGGATGGCAGCTGGTGACAAGTGGAGTTCCACACTAGTAAGTGTTGGGACCACAACATTATACATTAATGATCTGTATGAAGGAACTGAGAGTATTGCTGCTAAGTTTGCGGGAAAGATGGGTAGTGTTGAGGAAGCGAGGAGGCTGCAGAAGGACTTGGATCGGCTAGGAAAGTGGACAAAGAAGCAGCAGATGGAGTACAATGTGGGAAAGTGTGAATTTATGCATGTTGATTGGAAGAATAAATGGTGAAAGGCTTTTGAAATCCAAAGCACAAAAAGACTTGGGAGTCCTCGTTCAGGATTCTCTTGAGGTTAATATATTTGACAGGGTAGATGCAGAAGGGTGGTTTCCCCCTGTAGGAGATTAGAGGACCAGGAGGGGACAATCTCAGGATTCTTCTGGCAGTTCGGAAGGTAAATGCAATGTTTGTACAGCTTCAGCAGCATTTCTCTGCTGTTGAATTCTAGACCTCTTGAAATGAATACAACGTTCTGGTCAGACTCCATTTCAAATATTGTGAGCAGTTCTGGCCCTGTATCAAAGGAAGGATGTGCTGGCTTTGGAGGGGGCCAAGAGGAGTTTTAAAAGAAATAGTCCAAGGATGAAGGGTTTGCCATTTGAGGACTCCGAGTCTGTACTGAAGTGAGTTTACAAGGATGAGGGGGGATATGTTTGAAACTTAGAGATTACTGATAGGCCTGGACAGAGTGCGTGCAGAGAAAATGTATTACTATGTACTCTCCACTAGGAGAGACGAGGACCAGAGGGCACAGCCTCAGAGTGAAAGAATGGCCTTTCAGATCTGAGATGAGGAATTTCTCAAGCCAGTAGGAGATGAATCTGTGGAATTCATTGCCACAAAAGGATGTGGACCCCAAGGCATTGTGTGTAGTTAAGACAGAGAGATAGATAGGGGATTGAGGGTTACGGGAGAAGGCAGGTGAATGGGGATGAGAAACATATCAGCCATGATCGAATGGCGGAGCAGATTCAGTGACCAAATGGCTTAATTCGGCTCCTATATCTAATGGTCTTGTGGATTAGTAAGTGAATCAAAGGTTACAGGGAGAATGCAGGTTGAGAAACATACCAGCTATGCTCGAATGGTGTTGCAAATTTGACAGGCCGAATGGCCTAATTCTCCTCCTATGTGTTATTGCTGAACACTGTTGACTACGTTGATGCACATAAGTCTGAGACAGAAGGCTGTCACCACAGTAATAATTTAATGCTTTTTGTGCACTTTTATAGGCCAAAGAAGTTGCAGAAGAGGTTTTCCTTTCAACATTGGACTCTTGCAGTCTTACACAGTACAAAACTGCCCTAAGGTATGCTTGACCAGTTTTGTCTTTGGCTGAGACTTAAACTTTTAACTTTGCAAAGAAAAATGAATAGTAAGCCTGAGGAGGCACTCAGCGGTTAGTACCTGATAGGAAGCACAAGCGTAATTGATGTTTCTATTTCACTGTGTTTTTGTACAGCCTTAGAAATTTCTTCACTACAATAAGGTACTTTAACTAATTGTGGTAAATCATATGACATAGGAGTGGCTCTGCCATTCAGTGGGAACTCCACTTGCCTACTTTTACCCAATATCCCTTGATTCCCTGACTGGTTGAAAATCTGTCTATCTTGGCCTTGAATGTACTTTATAACCCAGCCTCTTTTTTTTTTTATTTTTAAAAAGAAATCCACAGGTTCACAAACCTCAAGAGAAATGATCACTCCTCAGAGGTCTTAAATGTGTAACATCAAATCCTGAGATTGTGTCCTGTGGTCCTCGAGTCTCCCACAAGTGGAAGTAACCTTTCTGCATCTACCCTGTCAAGTCCCTTCAGAATCTCATTTTTTTTCAATAATGTCGCCTCTCGTTCTTTTTTTACTCCAGTGTTCAGCCTGTCCTCGTGACAGTTCCTGCATACCTGGTATCAGCCGAGTGAACCTTCTTTGGACTGTGTCCAATGCCAGTATAACCTACCTTAGATAAAGGGGTCAAAACTGTTAAAAGTATTCTAGCTGTAGTCTGACTAGTGCTTTGCATAGTTTTAGGGAAACCTCCCTCTTTTCATACTCCAGTCCCATGGAAATAAGGGCCAACATTCTGTCTACTTTCCCTATTACCCACTGAACTTGGATGCCATTTTCTTGTGATTCATGAAAGAGTCAGTCACAAAGTTCTACAGCATGGAGACATGCCCTTCGGCCCAAACTGGTCCATGCCGACCAAAATGTCCATCCACGCTAACCGCATTTCCCTGCACTTGGCCCATATCCTTCTAAACCTTTCCTATCCATGTGTTCATCCAAATACCTTTTAAATGTAGTTCATGTATATGCCTCAACCACTTCAGCTAGTAGCTCATTCCATATGCATACCACCCTCTGTCTTTTAAAAAAAATTACCCCTCAGGTTTCCATGTATTCTTTCCTCCTCTTACCTGAAACTGATGTCCTCTAGTCCTCGATTCTCCAACCCTGAGAAAAAGACTGAGTGCATTTGCCGTATCCGTGCCTTTCAGGATCTTATACACTTCTGTAAAATACCCCCTTAGTCTCCTGTTTTCGAACAAAATAGTTCTAGCTTGTCCAACCTCTCCCTGTAATTCTGTCCCTTGAGTCCTTGCAACATCCTTGTAAATTTCTTCTGCACTCTTTCCAGTTTAATAACATCCTTTCTATTGTAAGATGACCAAAACTGAACACAATACTCCAAGTACGGCTTCACCAATGTCCTGTACAACTGCAGCATAACTTCCTAACTGCCAAAAGCTGCCTTCACTGCCCTGTCTACCTAATACTCCACTTTCAGAGAACCGTGCACCTGAACTCCAAGGTCCTTCTGTTCTACTACACTCCTTAAGGCCCTACCATCCATCATGAAACTCCTACCTTGATTTGACTTTCCAAAATGCAACACCTCATGCTTATCTTTCTTAAACTCCACTTGCCATTCCTTGGCCCACTTCCCCAGCTGATCAAGACCCTGCTGCCGTTTCTGATTACCTTCCTCGCTGTCCATGATACCGCCTATTTTAGTGTCATTTGCAAACTTACTAATCATGCTTTATCCATTGTCATCCAACTCATTGATATAGATAATAAATAGCAATGGGCCTAGCACCGAGCCTTGAGGCACACCACTAGTCACAGGCCTCCGGTCCCACAAGCATCCTTAGACTATTACTCTCTGCTTCCTACCATCAAGCCAGTTGTGTATCCAATTTGCCAGCTTTCCCTGGATTCCATATGATCTAACCTTCCAGAGCAGTCTACCATGTGGAACCTTAAGGCCATACTGAAATCCACGGAGACCATGTCTATCGTCCTGCCCTCATCAACCTTCCTGGTTGCTTCATCAAAGAGGGCTCCCAAATTGCTCTGTTCTGGAGATTTCTGCCTCCTTTCGCCATTGAAATTCTGTTGAATACTTCTGTTCTTCCTGGCAAAGTGCATAATTTTATATTTTCATACCTTATAGTCCGGCTGCCAAGTTTTTGCCCCCTCACAGATGTAACCTGTCTACATCTCTCTGTAGACTGTGGGTCATCACTTGCCTTCCCATCTATTTTCGTGTCATCCGCAAACTTGGCCATAGTACATTCATTTCCCACATCCAAGTTATTAATGTATATTGTAAATAAATGTACCCCTTGCACTGATCCCCGTGGCGCACACCACTAGTTACAGGTTGCCATTCCTGAAATTGCCCACCCCCCAATAATCCCAACTCCATCTTCTATTAGTTAGCCAATCCACTATCCATTTTTATATACTGTCTACAACACCCTGGGGTAAGTAGCCTAATATACAGTACCTTATCAAATGCCTTTTTGAAAATCTAAATATGTCACATCCACTGCTTCCCTCTTGTATGTCCTGCTTGCTACATTTTCAAAGAATTTTAGTAAATTTGTCAGGCATAATTTCCCCTTCACGAGGCCATGCTGACTGCTTTTCATTCTTCCTTGGTCTTTCCTATATAAAGTCAGAGTTATAAATGGAAACCTACCCTTCAGTGCAACTCATCCATGTCGACCAGATATTCTACGTTAATCCAGTCCCATTTGCCATCATTTGGCCCATATCCCTGCAAATCCTTTATTTATAAAACCATCCAGATGCCTTTTAAATATTGTAATTGTACCAGCCTCCACCATCTCCTCTGGCAGTTCATTCCATACATGCGCCACCCTCTGCCTGAAAAAGTTGCCCCTCAAGTCCCTTTTAAATCTTTCCTCCCCTCCCTTTAAACAGATGCCTGCTAGTTTTGGACTCCCCTTCCCTGAGGGAAAAAAGGACCTTGACTGTTCACCCTATCCATATCCCTCATGACCTTCTAGACGTCTATAAGATCACCCCTCAAGCTCTGACGATCCAGGAAGAATATCCCCAGCCTATTCAGCAACTCCCTATAGCTTAAACCCTCCAAGCCTGGCAACATCCTTGTAAAGCTTTTCTGAGCCCTTTCAAGTTTCACAACATCCTTCCTATAGCAGGGAGACCAGAATTGAATGCAGTATTCCAAAAGTGGCCTCACCAATGTCCTGTACAGCCATAACATGACCTCCCAACCCTTTATACTCAACACACTTTATACTCGAAGGCAAGCGTACCAAATATCATCTCCACTACTGTCTACCTGTGACTCTGCTTTCAAAGAACTTGGAAATATCTTCACAGATCAGAGTAAATATTTGAAGCAACGGCGGGTAACAAGATGTAGACAGAGAAGCCTAACAAAGAGCAAGCGCAAACCTACTTGATTGAGAAGGCACAGAAGCAGGCTGTTCCACTGTTTTCTTGGATTGGACTCAGAAGAGGCACCTCGTGCTGCCATTGCTCCCTTTGTCTCAGCACTTAATCACCTCCAGGATATCGTCTTCTGTCAGTATATCTTCACACGTACAGACAGACACGCACATCCTTCTGTGCACTCGTGTTCTGGATGCTGGTTTTGTGTTGTTGTACTGTACTGACCTGAACACCACCACCAACACCGCACCCCCCCACCTCCCCAATCAGGAAAGCGCTGCAAATTAGAAATTACTGCAAAAATTCCATGATTGTCACTTCTGACTCCAGTATGAGTCATAATTCCTTCACCTAGATATTCCATTTCAGTGTGTTTGACAATTTGCTGTTGCGTTAACATAATGGATCTCATCCATAGACTTTTGGTTGCTTGATTTTCTAAAATATTTCCTTTGTGTTCCTCTGGTGTTTTTCTTACAAAGTATTAATGTATATACTTTATACATTGATTCCGTATCTTGAATAAAAAGAACTCTCTCATTTTGCCTGCAGATCAAATTTGTCTTTCCTTATTCAAGCTGTGAATAGCCGAGGGAGGTTAGTATTGCGTTTTCGTTCGGAATGTTATATTCCAAAGCTGACAGATTTATATGTGTGCAACTAAAGTTTCTGTTACTGAACTTTTGGGTAGATCTGCTGTCATGGTTTATTTGATGTTTTTTTTTCCTTGAAGCGCAGTAGTTGGAGGATCTTAGTTGATTCACCATTCTAAGTTGAAGATTCCCTCTGTTGATGTAAGAATGCACTGTAACTTCAGTCTGAGCATGTGTTCATTGCTAAGTTCTGGTGTGATGGTTTTAGTTTCTGTGCTAGCTATTGCACTTGTCCACAACTTTGAAGAAAACATTTGACAGAAGAAGCAGGTCTCCTTTATTGTTGATGTGGAGGTGCTGGTGTTGGACTGGGGTGGATAAGGTCCGAAGTCACACGACACCAGATTATAGTCCAACAGGTTTATTTTGAAACCACAAGCTTTTGGTGCGCTGCCCCTTCATCAGGTGAAGTGAAGAAAAGCACGCAGGCACAGAATTCATAGGCAGAGAAATCAAAAGATCTTAGAAATGGCGTGAGCCAAATGTTGACAGCTGAATAGTAAGTGAAGGGATGATCTCCAATCCAATTAATTGAGGCAGAGAGATCATTACAAAAAATAAAAATCAGGTGCTGGAGTCAAACCAAACTGGAGGAATAGAATCATAGAGGAAGACAGCATGGAAAGAGGCCCTTCGGCCCAAACCCGTCCATACTGACCATGGTGCCCACTCAGCAAGTTCCAAATGCCTGCATTTGGTCCATATCCCCCTCAACTCTTTCCATCCATGTACCCATCCAAATCTTTTTTTAAATGTTGCTATTGTACCTGCCTCAACCACTTTCACTGGCAGCCCATTTCATATACACACCACTCTGCATGAAGAAGTTGCCCCTCGGGTCCTCCTTTAAATTTATCCCCTCTCACCTTAAACCTATGCCCTTTTGTTTTCAATTCCCCATTCCTGGGAAAAAGATGATATGCATTCATCCTATCTATGCCCCTCATGATTTTATTCACCTCCTTAAGGTCAGCCATGGAACAAAGTCCTATCTTGGCCAACCTCTCCCTATAACTCAGGCCTACTAGTCCTGGCAATGTCCTTTGTAAATTTTCTTTGCACAGTTTCCAGTTTAACTATGCCTTTACTACTGTACACAATACTCCAAGTGCGGCCCCACCAGTGATTTATACAACTAACATAACGAATAAAACTCCTATACTCGGTGCCTTGACCGATGAAGGCCAGCATGCTAAGTGCTTTCTTCACCCTGTCTACCTGTGACGCTGCTTTCAATGAACTATGTACTTGTACTCCTCGGTCCCTCTGTTCCACAACACTTCTCAGGACCTTACCATTTACTGTATAAGCCCTACCTTGGTTTGACTTTCCAAAGTGTAACACCTCACACTTGCTTGTGTTGAATTGCATTTGCCAAACCTCAGCCCACTTCCCCATCTGATCAAGATCCCTCTTGAATTTTTGATAACCTTCCTCGCTATCAATGATACCTCCCTAATTTTGTATCATCCACAAAGTTTCTAATGTATGTTCCTATCAGATCTTTTATGTAAATAACAAAGGTCCCAGCGCCGACCCCTATGGCACACCACTTGTCACAGGCTTCCAGTCCGAGAAACAACCTTCAACCCTCACCCTCTGCTTCCTACCATCAAGCCAATTTTGAATCCAATTAGCTAGTTCTCCCTGGATCCCATGTGAGCTAACCTGCCATGTGGGACGTTGTCGAAGGCATTACTAAAGTCTGTTCAGACAAAATCCACCGTCTTACCCTCCTCTATCATCTTGGTTATCTCTTCAAAAAATTCTAAAAGATTTGTCAGTTGTTAGGTATCATGGTCGCATGCATACCAAAGCAACAAGTAACCCAAAACTGTACAAACTAATTAAGGTAGCGAGATCATAACAAGTCATTGAGGTGATGGTGTCAAAACAGGACAGTAAGGAAGATTTTACAAATACAGAATGGTATGGTGGGATTACATGTAGTGCGACATAAACCTAAGATCATGGCTGAGGCTGTCTTCATTGATACGGAACTTGACTATCAGTTTCTGTTCGGTGATTCTGCGTTGTGTATCTTGAAGGCTGCCTTGGAGGAAGCTTACCCGAAGATCCTTAGTTGGTGGTTAATGTGTGGTACAGGAGAGCAAAAAGCGTATTGAAAGATCATTTTTAGTCAAATCTGATTTCTCTTTTCTTTCTTTCCGAATCGCTGTGTCAAAGCGGAGAACTGCAAATGTGCCACCATGTGTTTCTATTACAGTTGTCTGGGGATGTGCTTTTCTGCCAGAGTTTCTCTCTATACTTGTGTAAAAGAGGCAGGTTTAGCAGCATACGATCATAAGGAAGCTATTCAGCCAATTTGAACTTCACCATTTAATACTATCTTAGTTGATTGAACAATTCAATGCTTTTAACCCACACTAACCCCATAACAATTTGCACCATTGATAACCAACTAATTACCAACCTCCATTTGCAATATACTCAGAGTTCCAAAGTCTTTTGGAATAGAGAAATACGCCAACTCCTGTACTCCAAGGTCTGAGCAATGAAGGCAAGTGTGCTAAATGCCGCCTTACCTATGACGCAAATTTCAAAGAATTGTGTACCTGAACCCCTAGATCTCTCTGTTCTACAACAGCGCCCAAGGCCCTACTTTTAATTATACAAGTCCTGTCTTGGATTGTTTTAGCAAAATGCAATACCTCACATTTATCGAAATTAAACTCCATCTGCCACTACTTGGTCCATTCACCCAACTGATCAAGATCTCTTTGTAATCTTAGCCTTCTTCACCCTTCACTATGCCATTAATTTTGGTGTCACCTGCAAACTTACTAACCATTCAGTCTTTCTTCTCATCTAAATCATTTCTATAAATGACAAACGAAAGTGCACCCAGCACCCAGAAGATTCTTTTGCAACAAAATTCTCAATTATCCCCTTTTCATTACATCTTAGAAGTTTGCAAATTGCCTATCCTGTAGTTAGCTACTCAACATGCTGCTCCTGTAAATTATCGTGAGCACACTGCAGAAACTCATCCTCTACAGTTTTGGTACTAAATTGATTTATTCAGTTCATCTCTAAATTCAAGTCACCCATGAATACTGTGTTGTCCATGGTATGAGTTTCTCTCATTTCCTGGTTATGCCATACTACACAACAACCAGTATTATTTGGTGGTCTATTAAAATCTCCAACTGCTGCTCCTTGATATCTCTGTTTCACCGAGACGACAGATTCTACACATTGTTCTTCCAATCTCTGAGATCCTCCTTTGCTAATATACTGATCCCATCTTGTAGTATCAGTGTAACTCTGCCTCCTTTTCTATCTTGTGTGTCCTTCCTTAGGATTGAATATCCTTGAATGTTTAGTTTCCAGTTCTGGTCACCATGCAGTCATGTTTCTGTTTGTTTATCAGGACTGGTATTTCTGTTGTTCAAATGCAGGGATGTTTTATGGATTATGATGCACTCAAAATTAATTGGTGAGGAACCTTTGAAGACAATATTGTCGAAGTGTTATCAGAAACTGAAGGTTTCTGTTAACTTTAATAGTGAATGAATCAGGCCTTTATGTTGCTAGCCACCAATCTAAATGATGATAACTATTCTTTTCGTAGTTTATGAAATGTTTACCCTCTCTTCTTTCTAGGATCATCTCATTGGATAGCCACATAAGCAAATTCCTTGTTAAAGCGGTAAGTTACAAATGTGTGCCGTTTCTCTTTGCTTCACTTGATACCTGTTTAAAGCTTATAACTGGATGTTATCTTTCACTGTGCAGGTACAGCCATAAAACCGTAAAGACAGTGAACCCTTGACTATATTTCTGTCCTGACAAAACATTTAGTCGTGGTCATTTCATGTTTCGTATAAAATTTGCGAATAAAAAAATTCGAATGCTGAATGCCATAATCCTCTCCTAGTGTTTCAAAGGAATTTCCGCTTGGAAAATTCAAGTCTTTAATATCACTTGTATGGAGGTCTTAGACTTAAAAATATCTTGGCCAACACAAGATGAATGCTAAATAATATAAACCACTAAGCAATGACCATTGTCGTAAAAACTCCTTTGAATTTGATTTGAAGTGGTATCTTTGAAACTTGTCTTACTCAGGGTATTTTTCTCACTTTTGGCAACTTGTCCCTCATTGTCAATTAATTGTTAACAGCAAAATTATAAGGGACAAATATGAAAATGAAACAAGAGGTTACACAGAGACATGTTGAGTGAGCAAAGATGTGGAAAATGGAAAATCTAAGATTGTCCTTTTTGTGGTTGGTTGGCTCGCAGAACTGGTTCGTTGTTCTGCAGACGTTTCATTACCCTGCTGGGTAACATCAGTGCAGCCTCCGATGAAGCGCTGTTGTGTTTTCCCGCCTATTATTTAAACTCTGGTGTCCGTTGAGCTGGGTTACCTCATTTCCAGATTTCCTTCGTAGTAGAGTATATATAGGGTCTAGCTCTGTGTGTGTTGATGGCCTTAGTGGAGAACCAGGCCTTGAGGAATTCCCACGCTTGTCTCTGCTTGGCCTATCCCAGGATCCTGGTGTTGTCCCAATCAAACTGGTGGTTTTCCTTATCCACGTGGATAGAAATGAGTGAGTGTTGGTCGTGTCTTTTTGTTGCTCATTGCTGTTCATGTACTCTTGTGGCTAATTTTCTTCCTGTCTGTCCAAATTAATGTTTGTCACAGTCTTTGTAGGGGATCTAGTATATTACATTGGCCCTGTCCATAGTGGGTAACGGGTCTTTGGTTCGGGTTAGCAGTTGGCATGGGTTTGTGTGCTACTGTGATGCCCAGTGGTTGTAGGAGTCTTGTGGTCAGTTCAGATGCGTTCTTAATAGAAGGTAGCGTGATGAGTATGTCAGGGCGTGCAGTATCTTCCTGGTGTCGTTTGTGTAATAGGCATCTTCTGACGCAGTTTTTTGGGTATCTGTTGTCCTTGATTACTTGGAGGTATTCTTCTTCTCTTCGGTGTAGGTCTGTGTTGCTGCAGTGTGTTGTTGCCCGTTCTAACAACATCCACAACCCGAGCTACAAATCTTTTCAAAAACCTTGTTGTCCTTTTTATTTGCTGATGACACCACTGTGGTTTGACACCATCAAACAGTGATGAATCAGAATAAAGAAAGAGGACTTGGTGTTGTGGTGCAATGATAACCTCTCTCTCAATGATGGAAAAACAAGAGAACTGATCATTGACTTCAGAAAGAAAGGAGGAGAACGCGCTGCCATCTGTATCGGTAGAGACCCCTCTCATCCTGGTAATGGTCTCCTAAAACCTCTTCCGTCAGGCAGAAGATACAGAAGCTTGAACACATGTACCAGTGGGTTCAAGGGCAGCTTCTCAGCTGTATTAGACTAATGAATGGACTCTCTAAATTCAAACTATGTTGATCTTGTTAATATTGATCTTGCTTTGTGCACCTCCTGTGCAGTGTAACCTGTATGCCTTGGTCTGTCTAAGCGTCCTATGATCTATATGCCCTTGCTCTGTCTGTAGTACTCACAAACAAACAAAACTATTCACTGTACTTGGGGACACATGATTACAAAAAATCAAATCCAAAAACCAGCAGGAAGAATAAAAAAAAATTTAAATGGTGAGCGATTGCAGAGTTCAGATTCAGAAAGGTCTGGTTGCGCTTGTGCGTGAACTGCAAACGGTTATTCTGTAAGTAATAATTAAGAAAGCTAACAGAATGTTATCATTCATTACGAGGGCATTGAATCTCAAGTAGGGAGATTATACTTCAGTTATACGATGCACTGGTGAAATGCTATCTGGAGTAGAGCATGGGTCACCTTTTTTAAGAAGGGTGTAAAAATGTAAAACAATGTAGTTCAGAGAAGATTTACTCACTCATACCTGGATCAAGTGGATTTCCTTATGAGAAAAGGTTGGAACAGGTTTAGTCTGCACCTATTGGAATGTAGAAGAGTAAAAGGTGACTTCATTGAAATGTAAAGTACTGAGGGATCTTATCAGAGGATGTTTCTGAAATAACTCCAAGTCTGGTATCCCGTCGCCCTTTATTTGCACATGCTTAGTACCTAACACTGATCTGGTTTCTTCTGAGTGAACAAAACCTCTAACACTCCTGTTTATATCTGTTGGCAAGAGCTCCCTGATTGGACCAGATTAACAGCCCCAATCAGGAAACTCATATTCTGAGGTCCACCTGGCTGACCTCGTGACAGTCACTCCATCCCTCCCCCTTTAAGGCCGTGGACATAGCCCTGTTTTTTTTGTCATGTAGCCTTTCCTGTGGCGTTTTCGCACCAGCTCCAGTTCCTCCAATTCACTCTTGGATACAGGCAGTGTGTACCTGACTGTAGCTGTCCTCTTGTGCTCGGAATGTCTTGGCAGAAATTCTTCTTCCTCTTCAGGTTGTAACGGCGTCGTGGTTGCAACATCTGCCGTATACATCTCACTCTGGTTTCTTTGACACTAAATGGAGGGGTAGAACCATGGCTTCTGCAGGACCAGGTATGTTTTGCTCCTGCCTCGTTTGCGAGTTTGCAGCTTTCACGTTCAGGACTGTCTCACCTGATGTGACATTTGACATCAGAAAATGCTCCAATTTCCTGCTGGTAAATGATGGCTCATTGTCTGTGACCAACACTTCTGGGAGCCTGTGTATTACGAATGAAGCATGCAGCTTTTCTTTCATCGTCCCCGTGTTTTCAGAATGAACTGTACTCACGTCCAATCACTTTGAATGGGCGCCCACGATGACGAAGAATGTTGAGGTTATGAAAGGCCTGGCATAACTGATGGGTAACTGAATCCAGGCTTTACCTGGCCATTCCCACGAATGTGGGGCATCTTCTGGCGATACTTTTTGTCCTTTTTGGCATTCTGGGCACTGCCCCACCAACTTGGCTATGTCAGCATCCAATCCTGGCCACCAGACATAACTTCTCACCAACATCTTCACCCATGGATGACCCTGGTGGAGTTCAGCCAGTATCTGACCTTTGCATAGGACAATCGCTCTTGCTCCGTATAATAAAATGCCGACCTCCATGGTGATGTGGTCTCGGTGGGAAAGATTACAGTTCTGGTTGTGAAGGCCCTTTTTGTTTCGCTCATCGCCACCAGCTGTTTTAGTTTTGTTAGGGCCAGGTCTTTGAGTTCACAGTCTGATATTGTCAATGGTGACTGGAAAGGTGTCTCGAAAGTTTAAAATCAGAAAGGACTTTGCTAGTGGTGGCATCATCAGTGGTGTATCTGCCAGTGGGAGGTGGCTCAGGGCCATCTGCATTTGAGACATGACATCCTGGGTTGTTACAACTTGTAATTGTGTGTACTTGGAATGGAGCCCATCACTGAATTTGACCTGAAGCTCCAGGCAGCATGGTCTTGTCCTCTGAATAGCCCTAGCAGGATTTTGTGGTTTGTTACTATTACAAATTTACATCTGTAAAGGTATTGGTTGAACTTTCTCACCCCAAAGATGACTGCCAAACCTATTTTTTCTATTTGGGCATATCTGGGCACTGTATCAACTCAAGTCTGGGAAGCATATGCAATTTGGCGTTCCTCTCCATTAGGCCATCTGCGAATCAGCATAACCTCAATACTGTACAGGGAGGCATCGCATGTCGGCACCAGATCTCACTTGGGATCATAGTGTGCCTACACCTGAGATGATGATAGCAGCTGCTTCCTTTCCCTAAAACGCTACGTCTTGGCTACAAGACCATGTCCAAGACTTGCTCTTTTTCAATAGCAGATGTAAGGGTGACAGGGCGGAGGCCAGGTTACATAGGAACTTTTCAAAATAACTCACCAATCCAAGGAAAGACCTAAGCTCCATTGCGGACGTGGGAGCCAAGGCACCTTTGATCGCTCTCCCTTTATCTTCTGAATGTAACCTGATCTTGTCAACTCTTACAGCCCAAGTGGGTCTTCTGTGATGCCTGGAACACACATTATTCCCTTGCAAAGTGTGTGCCTGCCTTGGAGAAATGTCAAGGGACAATAGCCAGGTTCCCTAAGTGCTCTTGTTGGTCTTCCCTGTTGTTAACACACCATCTAGATAAACTGTGACCTGGGATAGACCTTGTAGGTGATGTTGCATAGTTAGATCATTAATCCCACATACCACGTGGGGTCTCAGCATCTTGTTATGGTTAAACCGAAGCCACATGCCTCTACCAGTCACCTTAACCTCATCAAAAATCCTGACATGGATTCCCCTCGTTCTCAAACTCTTGAGTAAAACAGATTAGCATCTCAAAATTAGAGGAGATCTTGGGTCGTAAGATTCCTTAACTAAATCAATCAACTTTTTAAAGGTTTTACTATCTGGAAATGTTTCCTCAGGAAATATTAGGCGCCTAATAACAGAAGAAGCTCTGGGTCCACAAGCTATCAGGAGAACGACTCGTTGCATTTTATCTGCCCCAATGTCATTTGCCCGGAAAGAATAAAGCGTACTTTCCACGTATTGGGCCCAGCCTTCTTCAGCAGAATTGAATGAATTGAGCTTCTCAAATAATGACATGATGCCAGAAATGCTTATGCCATTTCAAAGGTGACTGTTGTGAATAAGTTTCTTCAGCAGCATTTTTTTTTCTCTCGTAGCCATTGAAATAACTCCACAGTCTGGTTTCTTGTTATCAAGTTACATTTTATTCACACATGCATTGTACTTGATACTGGTCCGGCTTCCTCAGAGACCGCTTTGAGTGAACAGAATCTCTGTCATACCTGTTTATATCTGTCAACCAGGGCTCCTTGATGGGACCAGAGTAACAGCCCCAATCAGGAAACTCCTATTCTGTGAGGTCCATCTGGCTGACCTCATTACAATCGCGAGAGTTTCCTCCTGTAGGATCATCCAGACCTAGGAGTCACAATTTTTAAATTTCTTTAAATCACCCATTTAAAAACTGAGATCACATTAAATGCTTTCTTTTAAGGTATGGTGTCTGTAGGATTTCCTCCCTGAATAGGGGGCAGAAGGAGAATCCTTGAACATTTGTGAAGCCGAGGTAGATTCTTGTTGAGCAATGGGTTGAAAGCTTGTCGGGGAGGTGGGCGTGTGTGTGTTTGAGATTAAAAATTAATTAACCTTGACCTGTTGAATGGTGGACCAGGCTCAAAGGGCTGAATGGTCTACTCCTGATTACTATGTTCCCTGTTAATCTGATAAGTGATACAATTTGAGATGGTCGATCAGCCTGGCCAATTGCCACAAATGAAATTTGGAAAACCACAATCTATAGGAGACCAGTTTACAAATGATATGTGCCACTGAAACAGACCATTCTGCCCAGTTTTTTCACATCAGTGATTCTGCTCCACTTGAGTATCCTCTCTTCTTTTCTCATCTACATGTATTTTGGGATAATCTAGGGAAAATATCTATATCCCATCAATTCTTGGGGGTATACCTATTCACGTGTTTCAGTATATGTTTTCAGTTTTGGAAATGAAAGATTAACAGAAAATGGGATAAATGCAATTGAAATACATGGAGTCCAATTACAATTGGGGTCATCTTGCTTTACGAGGTGAACAGCAAGAAAGGCAGGATCAGAAATGACAGGTGGACTTGCTGAGCTGGAAGTGTGGTGTCTACGATACTTAGTGATGACAGTCCAGAAAGATTTTGTTTCTGGAATTAAAATTAAATTGGTTAAAAGCCCCACCACCTTTTCTTAGGCAACAAGGGATGAGCAATAAGTGCTGGCCCAGTTAGTGATGTCCACCTTGCAAGATTGAACAAGAAAAGTAATGAGTGGTACATAACCTGAAAGTCATGTTAAGGATTACTCCGAGCAGCCTGCGTCATCATGGAGGTGGGTGGAGCTTAAGAAATTTCTTGATTTCCAATTTATCTGTGTGTTTTGGCTTGAAGAATTTAGTTGTCGTTTGGAGCTGGGAGAAGTAGAAATTGCCCTTGGCAGTATGTGTGCTGTTGTTTGCAGACTTCATGCAGTTAAGTCTCAAGAGATTTCCCAGGCCATCCAAGCGAGAGAGGCTTTGAGAGTATTTTAAGATTAGTTTTGAAAGTGAAGAATTCCAATCCTTTGTGAAGGAGACAGTGTTAATGAGGTTTGCTAAACCTACAGTGTCACTACATCTGAGTGGGATCTGTTTTGACTGCACTGGTCATTTGAAATGCAGTCTGTGAAATGTTTGACCACAGTTTCAGTTCATTCATCATCTCCTGTTAATTCAGAATGTTTGTTTAATTAGTGTATATGGTTTAGAATGACTATCTTGCTGTTGAAGTTTATATAGTAAAGACTGATATTTCAATTTAAACCTGGAATCATGTCGCTGATTTTCTTACACTTGGTCCTTCAAAACATTGCTCTTGATAAGATTATGCTCTATCAAAGTTGAACGTAACAAAGATTCAGCTCCTTCAGTATTTCTATAACTGGGATTGTATCCTTTCTGCCTCAAATGCTTGTTTATGTTCTCCTTAGTACCAATTTGTAATTAAGTTTGATATTTGTATTTTAATTCCATTTACTTTAGAGAATTATCACAATGGGTAATTTTGAATTAAAAACACTTTGGATAGGTAGTAAAAGCAGAAAATGTTGATTTATTTCTTGAACAGGTCTGGCAGCATCTCTGGAGATGGAAACTCAGTTTATATTTTAGATCAGTAATTTGTCATCGGATCAGAATTTCAACATCTTCAGCATTTTACTTTTGTAATGCTGGACAGGTTGTGTTTCTTGCCTGACAAATTTAAAAATTCCTCCACAGGAAGTGGGTATTGCTGGCCCGGCCCAGTGACATTGTCTGGTGGTGAGCTGTCTCCTTAAACTGCAACAGTGTTTGTGATATCGATGCATAAGCACAAAGCTGTTGGGAAGGGTTTTCCAAGATTTCTAATCCAATGACTGAAGTCACCTGGATCCATTTGGAGGGTCAGATTGCAGAAAAGCAGTAAAGTGGCTTATTTATTTTTCGATCATCAAACCCTTTTTTTTCCTGGTGGTAACAAATTTAATTCGGTTTCAGTTTCAGAATTTTGTCTTGTGGGTTTGACCTCTCGGTATAATGTTTACAGTCTGTCATTGATATGTATTCGTGTGCACCTGACATCTATTTGCCAGTCCAGCAATCTGATGAAGTAATTCTACTTTGGCTTGTTCAGAATTGTATTCACTGTTTACTTTTGTATTAAAAGCAGTCTGCAATACCCAACAGATCAGGTGCTGCCTGACGTGCAAAATCTAGCACTTCTAAATAACAAGGGTTCCGACCCAAAACGTCAACTTTCCTGCTCCTCTGATGCTGCCTGGCCTGTGGTGTTCCTCCAGCTCCACAGTTTTTTTCACACTTCTAAGTATTTCTGCTTTATCTTAGATTTCCACTATGTTTTGCTTTTGTATTTTTAACTCACCCTTTATGAATATCTTGGCTTCCATTGTATCGTTCTAGTTTTAATTTTAAGCTGGCTTCGGAGGTGATTGAAGGATCTTGAAAAGTTATTTCAGTTGAATTCTTTGGCAATCTGGGGTTGTTCTACTTGAAGTGTGACTGTAACCTACAGGGCTATAGACCAAGAGCTGGAAATTAGTCTTAGGCTGCGTATTTCTTACTGGCACAAACCACAAATCATCTGTTATAGATTTTCTGCACTTACATTTCCTTTTCTTGATCTGTATCATCTTCCCCACTTGCCAGCAGTAAATTATACTTGGGAGTAGCTATTTGTAAAGACCCCATTTCCATGTTGATGTTTCAGTGGAATTTGTAGAATTAGCAATTTAGGAATGCCATTATAGCTACACTCCTATCATATCACAAGACAGAAAATGCAGAAAAGATGTTCCTGTTGACCAGGGAATCCAGAGATCTCAGGTTAAGAATATGGGGTAGGCCATTTCGGATTGAGATGAGGATAAATTTCTTCACCAGGAGAATAGTGAACCTGTAGAATGCTCTACCAAAGAAAGCAGTATAGGTCTTAGAGCTGAAAGGATCTAATAGTATAATGGGTAATCACCTCAAGTTAATTTGGCTGCTTTGTTAAGAAATCTCTCAATCGAGTACTGAAACAATGATTTAAACTTTATTGTATGTAGCAACCAAAATAAGCGAATTAACACTCTCAACTCATTTTGGCTATTACCTGATTAATGGTGAAATTTAGCCACTATTCCAACCAACAGTATCTGTCTCTGGAAGTATGCAGGGTTTGATCCTTGTGCAATGTTGTTCGAAAGGCATATGAAAGGTTCTGGTGTTGAATTATACGCATATTTTCATCCTATTATGTAATATTATTGATGAATCTTTAGAATCTCTTTAGATTCCTTTCATCCAAAATGTTGTAAGTCTGCAGCTTGCCGCCTTCTCAGAAGTAGCTTCCTTGTTCCTTGTTACATTTGGCATAAACTGTCTGTTTGAAAAATTAACTTTCCTGTTGTAATTAACTCCTTAAAGTCAGCAGTTGGGCAGTGATTTATTCTTGCAGCGTGAGACAGCAATTATCAAATAGGTGTCAAAAGTTTTGTTCATGTAGCTTCGACCCTTCTTTTTAAACATTTTTGATAACTTTTTTTTTTTCTAATCAACCTGTTCAGAGATGTTATTACATTCCTCTGAAGTAGGTGGGACTTGAACCTGTCCTTTCCAGTCCAAGGGTAGGGACACTACCACTGTGCCACAAGGTCCCCCACAGAAATACGTCTGGACAAGGGCAGGCCTGAACTTTTGCTAATATGCCAACACCCTGGAACACATTTCCCTCAAACCCTTCTGGATTTTCTGCTGTACCAACTCTAGCTCTGGTTTCAAGTCCTTCTTTTCCAGGCCTGGCTAATTGCTTTCAGTCCCTCTGTAACAGCTTGTCTTTGTCCCTTAATAGTTTATTCCAGACAGAGTTCTTGCTGCTTCTTTCTATGTGTAACAGTTTATGTTCGTTGATTCTTTCAATCCATTATCAGTTGGTAAAATTTTGAAGTTTACACTAGCACAATGATATGGGGATAAAGCAGGAACTGGGTACATAGTAGGATAAGCAGCCATGATCATATTGAATGGTAGAACAGGCTGAAAGCACTGAATGGCCTACTCTTTTTTTTTTTTGCCTGTTTTCTATGTTTCTATTCTTCCAAACATTACAGTATGGATCACAGAATAATAATCGATTTCTAAGCTCTGCTGATTTAATTTCTTTCTTTTTTGCATCTGTTATTTTTGTGATCCTACTTTGAGTTTGGTGTCCCAACTTGGTTTCCATTTCTAAATATTTTTCAGGCAACCATGACTGTGTATGACATTCCAGATTTAACAGGAGGAAAAGGAACCCTAGGGTCCATTGTCTTTTCTGAATCATTCCTGGAATCAAAGCTGTTTCTCAAAGAAAATGGTAAGTGGAATAATTAGTGATGAATTAATTTTACAGCCTGTTTAATTAAATAAGTATTGTTGGTTTGTTTTTCATCTTGACACACGTTTTCCCTTTGGGTAACAGTGGGGAAGAGTTGAAGAGATCAGCATGTTTCTGTGATCAGAGTCTAGGACTTGAACCAGAGTTTTTGCTCCTCAGTGACTTAGATGAATGAATAGAGTCTTGTATATCCACATTAGCAGATGATGTTAACTAAGAGATAGTGAGAAGAATAAGCAGAAGCAGAAAGTTATAAAGGTTTGTAGACTAATCAACTAAGTGGACAAACCTTTATTCAGTGAGAAGTATTCCACTTTGGATCCAAGAAATAACAATGGGAATATTTTCCTAATGGTGAAGGACCAGCTACTGTTGATAAGAAAAGTAATTTTGATGTTATGCACACATTACTAAAAGCTACTTCGCAGGTACAAAAAAAACCTTACACAAACTTTTTTATATACATGATTTATAATGAGCAGACTTGAATACAAGGGTGTAGAAAATATATTTTAATTATACAGAATCTTGCTTAGATAACACCTATAGTGCTGCTACACTTGGTTTTGGACACGACACCCTAGAAAATATGTAATGATCTCGGAGGCCAAATTGCATGAAATTTATATTTCATTCAGCTTAGAATGTTCTGGGAACAATCAAATTAAGAATTTGCTAGAGTACAATCGGCTTTGCTGGGCAATTCAGAATGAAGTGGCTAATCAAAAATTAGAGGCAGTTCAGGGCTGAAATCAGGCACACGTGGAAATTGGAGATAATCTCCCAAATTTGTGAGGTTGGCGACTGAAATTTTCAGGGGATAGATCAACAGATTGTTATTATATCTGGTATTAAAAAGAAAGTATCAAAAGTGACTCAGAGTTGAGGTACAAATCTTTTCTCGTGCCTCTTTTGCCTTTGAAGTAAGGTTGGCAATGAGCTTGATGCGGCCCCTTAATTACTTTATACAGATAAAATTGTAATTGGAAATCATGAAATGACAGATTACTAAAAAGCTAGTTGTATCAACCTCCATAGTGCATAATGTGGAGGTGCCAGTGTTGGATTGGGGTGGACAAGGTCAGAAATCACACAACACTAAGTTATAGTCCAACAGGTTTATTTGAAAACAAGCTTTTGAAGCCTCACTCCTTCTGCACCTGACACCTGTGTTATGTGATTTCTGAATTCATAGTGCATAGAACAAGGATAAGATGCAACAAAAATTGAAAATAAATGCAGGAGAGGAACTAATTAGATTCAAAACAAGCTTGTTTTTAAAAGTCAATTGCAGAAATTATGAAGTTAAATATTGATAAATTGCATGTTGGAAATTGTTCTCTTGGAATGAGAAATTATAGTCAATCTACTATTTGGAGATAAGGGTGATAAACATGAAAGTGCAGGCCAATATTTCAGCAAGGGTGTTGGGATGTTACTGCAATCTATTTTCTCGATAGTGACTGAACATTTGGTCAGGTATGAATGAATACAAAGGTTTTCCAGAAAGAAACCAGGTACAGCCCTTCCAACTGATGAGAGAACTTTAAGTGGAAATAGGGTAACCTTTCACTGAAGTTTGAGTATCTGGAAGGTCATTGTTGATGGGAAAGACGTTGAACTTTTCATTTTGATAACTGTAGGAAGACTGCTTCAAACATTTCTCTTGTGTGCAGCCACTTTTTCCAATTTGAATGTAATCTTTGACGTCCATTTGCAATAACATATGGATCTGTTCAATGATTGATTACCATGTAACTAAGTTGCAAAAAATAAAACTTAATGGTCTGCCAAACCAGGTTGCACTTTGGAATCCGACTTGCAGCATGACCATCAGCTAGGATTGTCGTTGTCATAATCACATTTAGATGAATGAAAATGGGAAAAGGCTTGAGTGGAGCACATTTTGGACTGTTTGAACCAAACCGCTCACCTTTTAGGCTTGTAATCATGTAACCACTCAGTTGATTGATCATAGAGTCAGTCCCCATGACAGTTTGCGACAATCTGCCTTAATCTCACTTGCACACATTTTAGTCCCAGAGACAGTAGGAACTGCAGATGCTGGAGAATCTGAGATAACAAGGTGTAGAGCTGGATGAACACAGGCCAAGCAGCATCAGAGGAGCAGGAAGGCTGACATTTCGGGCCTAGACTCTTCTTTTTGCATGCATTGAAAAATTGAAGTTGGTGAATACAGTTTATTGGAAAACATTTTTAATAGTGAGTAATTAGTGCTGTTTGCCTGTTATTGGTTCAAATTCTCTTCTATCCGGCAATCTCATGATGATGTGGAGGTGCTGGTGTGGGATGGGGGTGGACAATGTTAGAAGTCGGATGACACCAGTGATAGCTCAACAGGTTTGTTTGAAATCACAAGCTTTTGGAGCGTTGCCCCTTCATCAGGTGAAGTGAGAGAAAAGCACACAGGCACAGAATTCATAGGCAGAAAGATCTAAACATTATACAGATGGTGCGAGTGGAGTGTCAACAGGCTGAATAATAGGTCTCTGCAGGTGATCAAGAGTGTCAGATGCTGTGAATAAAGTATCAACAGCTGAGTATCAAGCGAAGGGATGACCTTTAATCCGAATAAATGAGGTAGAGAGATAATTACAAAAAATTTAAATATAAGGTGGTGCTGGAGACAAACCAAATGATGGGAATACGTGCTAAGTGTAAGAGTCACCTGCCGAGGGTCTAACCAGAGTAATAAGTAATCGAAAGCTGTTCAAACTACATAAGGTAGAGAGATTATAAGAATTCATCAAGGTGATGGTGTCAAAACGGAACAGTGTGGTGGGGCCACTCGTAGCACAACATGAATCCAAGATCACGGTTGAGGCCATCTTCATGGGTACGGAACTTGGCTGTCAGTTTCTGCTCGACGATTCTGCGTTTTTGAATATCTTGAAGGCTGCTTGGAGGACGCTTACCGGAAGATCGGAGGTCGCGTGCCCTTGACCACCGAAGTGTTCCCCAGTTGGGAGGGAACATTTCTGTCTGGTGATTGTTGCACGGTGTCCATTCATCTATTGTCGTAGCGTCTGCACGGTCTCCCCAATATACCATGCCTTGGGGCACCTTTGCCTGCAGCATATGAGATAGATAGCATTGGTTGAGTCATCTGCTTTATTTGTCATGTATGTTTTGGTGGTGTTCCCACGTGTGATAGTAATATCCATGTAGATAATCTGACATGCCTTGCAGAGGTTGCCGTGGTAGGGTTGTGTGGTGTTGTGGTCGATGTTGTCCTGAAGGCTGGGTAGTTTTCTGCGAATGATGGTATGTTTGAGATTTGGCGGTTGTTTAAAGGCGAGAAGAGGGGGTGTAGGGATGCTGTTGGCAAGATGCTTGTCGTCGTCGATAATATGGTGAAGGCTGGGTAGAACGTAGTGTAGTTTTTGCACTCTGGCGAAGTACCAGATGATAAAGGATACTCTATCGATCGTATCCAGTGTCTCTCTTCTGAAGAGGTTGGGGTTTTTCACTGTTGCACGTCGGAACTGACGATCCATCAGTTGAGTATTGTAGTCCGTTCTTGCGAGGATGTCCTTCAAACTTTGTAGGTGCCCGTCACGTTCTTCCTCATCCGAGCAGATCCTGTGCATGCATCATGAGGTTATCCGTGGGCTTCTGTTAGAGTGAGGTGCTAAGGTGTCTGTCCTTGATGGAGATGCGTGCATCCAGTGATGAGACTGATTCTGAAGTGTAGTCCCTGGCAAGTCTGGTGGGATGAAATTTGTTGATCTCACTATCTAGTTGTTTCAGTGATTCCTCGCTATGAGTACAAAGGAAGAAAATGTCTTTGGTGTATCTGTATCTGGTGTATAGCGTTGGTCGGAGGTCCTGCGCAGCAAAGAAGTCTTGCTTGAACTTGTACATGAAAATTGGCATATTGGAGAGCAATTTCGACCCCATGGTGGTTCTGTGTGGCTGGATGAAGAACTGGTTTTCGAAGGTGAAGACATTGTGATCGTGGATCAAGTAGATGAGTTACAGGTTGGCAGTTGGTATTGAGTACTGTTGCAGTGATGCCATCATTGTGGTGGGGTACTGGTGTAGAGTGCCGAAACATCCATGTGCCAAGGAATGTTCCTGGTTCAACTGGTCAGTGGGTGCTGATTCCTATAAGAAGTCTTGTATATCGTGACAGAAGCTGAGAGTTCCTTGTACAGTGGGTTTCAAGATGCCCTGGACGTAGCCAGAGAAGTTCTCGCGCAGGGTCCCGTTTCCTGATATGATTGGCCTACCAGGTGTGATGGCTTTGTGTATGTTCGGAAGGCGGTAGAAGTTTCCTACGCAAGAAGTAAGCGGGATGAGGGTGCATCGTTTACTTTGAAGGCCTGAATCAAAGGTCTCGATCAGTCTGTTGAGTTGCCGGATGCGTTCTTTGTTTGGACCGGCAAATAGTTTTCTGTAATGTTTCTAGTTGTTCAGTTGTCGGTATGCCTCTTTGCAGTACTCCATTCTATTTTGTATGATGGTGGCTCCTCCTTTGTTGGTTTGATGACAATGTCATGATTGGTCTTGAGAGCATGGATGACGTTGCATTGTGCTTGGGTGATGTTCTGCGCTATCATGAGTGCAGCTGATGAATCTGGCATTAATGCATTTCCTGATGGTTTGAGCACACCTGTCTAGCCTAAGACAGCAGTTTTCTGGAGGGGTCCAATTCGATTCTTTCTTCCCTGGTCGCTGCACTGCGGATCTCTCTGTCCACTATTCCAGCTTATTGATTATCTTTATTGAGCTCTCCGTTGACATCTCCGTTGACATCTTCAAGTTTTCCTTTGAAGAGTTCCTGGAGCCTCATTCGCCGAATGAATTCCTCTGTGTTTGCTGCAAGACCAGTGGGGCCCATTTTAGTAGTGGGGCAGGAATTGAGTCCTCGGCTGAGAACATTGTTTTCATCTGGTTGAAGGGTGTGGTCAGACAAGTTGAGGGATTCCCTCTTGATGGTACAGCAAGGATGCTCC